CCCCAAAACCCCAAAACCCCAAAACCCCACAACCTAAAAGTAAACAGAATTTCTAAATTATCAAAATTATAATATAATTTTAAGTTATTTCATCTATCTAGAGTGAGTGCATAATTATGAGAATATTAGACTCAGATTCATCATCATTTCTTGTTGATGTCTGGAAGCAGTTTGCTGCTTTATTTAATCATATGGCTGCCTGTCTCTTCTTGATCGTCATCATCATCCTCATCCTCTTTATGTTACTAGTCAGATTAAATAACTTGCAGGATATTAGTGACATGATTATGCCATTTCATAGATGCATTAGCCATACCGAAGTTTACCTTAGCTTGTTCCTTCATCTCTGGATCTCCAGTTTCCTCTGCTATCTTCATTGCTCTGTAGAAATGCTTTGTACTAGTATCATAATCACCCTTTTGAGTAAGAAGTTCTCCTAACTGCATGTAAGCTCCACTTTCTCCCTTTCTGTATTTCAATTCATTAGATAGCTCTAGATATCTCTCTACGAACATTTGCAACTTCTCTTGATTCATTTGAGCATAGACATTCTTGCCTCCAACTTTACCTAGGTTTCCAATAGCCACACTCTAGCCAGCAACACTGCTCATTTAAATAGCATATCTGAGAGCAAACTAATGGTTGATTGAGGACTTCTCATGATCTCCGATATTGTTATAAATTATACCCAAATTGATATGAGCCAAGAATTTGCCTGCAACATCTGCAATCTCCTTGTGCTTTGTATGATACTCAATTGCATCCTTGTAGAGATTATTCTCATTTTCTCCCAACTTCATATAGTCTACTCCAATGCAGTTATAAGAAAGAGCCTCTCCGTGAACATCGCCGATAGCTTTGCAGACTTGCAGGAAACGCTTGTATTGATCAATGGCTTGCTTATACTTGCCTAAGTTATCGTAAAGCACACCAGTTGAGTAGTAAGCTCTGCCCTCATCTCTCGATTTTCCTGCTCTCTTGCAAGCAAAAGCTAGAATATTATAGTCCTTTAATCTTTTTTAGGCAGCAATACGGTTGTATGAGTCTGCATATGACATATTCAGTCCAGGCCCACTCCTCAATATTGATGCTTAATTCATGTCTGCAGCCCTGATAAACGTTAAGAAATATAACTTACTTATTATTCATTCTATTTTTGCTTAGAATGTCTTCTTTTCTTTTTGGGGTATTGAAATATATTGGTAATTCGATTCTTTAAGGCTGATTAACTCTCAAAGGTAGATCACTTTCCTTCTGTAAATTTCTTAATCTAAACCCTTTTAGATTTTCCTCGGCCAAGGTTTTGGAATTTAAAGCTCCTGCTGGTGCGGGCTTAGCTCTAGCTCTCTCTGGTGAAGCTGAAAAATAGGCACCTCTTATGGTGGACTTATTAGTTTGTGAATATCCCGCATTACTAGTATTAGGTAAACAGGTTATATTGAAAATACAATGAGTTGTTGAGATTATTTCCATATGGGTTGCTCATTTTTGAATACTAATTTATTTATTTATTTTAATAGTATTGAGATTACCACTATGAATGCAAAATTTAGATTCTCGGGGTTTTGGGGTTTTGGGG